ATTTGGCAAAAGTATTCGCACTACTTATGCCTTGTGGTGAGTCACAACGATTTCAAAACTGCGAAAACCAACAGCGAGTCCAGTCCACGGAGATGTCAAAGGGTTTCAAGGTTCCAACTACTATTCACGCTTTCAACATCAACAATAGGGTGCATTTGAGACGCACACAAAAAACACTCGATGCATACCGTTGTTTAGAGAGAGCTCTTCAATTGGTGAGTGACCAGATTCCACAAATCAAGGCATGATTAAAGTCACGACGAATAATATTTCCAGCACCACTGGTACCATTCTATGGGGAATACTTACGCCGTCATTAGGACAAGAAGAGCTCAATCACATGACTACAATATGGCTTTAAAAGACTCGGTGATACAAGACACAACTAAGCAACTCATAACACGAAGAAATACACCCTTCCAACATACCACGTAAAGTGATGTAATGGAAGACGGGGAGACAAATTAAGGCTCTGCGAATCTACACGTCGGAAACTTGATCAGCACTTTTTAATGGATAAAACATATTCTTGCAGGGGGAAGCAATCCATATAAAGTGAGCAGATTTCCATGAATGACCCAAAACGTGAGTTAATAAGACAAACAGACTAAACGCATCCGCGAATCATTGACAGTTCACCCTCTAGGGGATGCCAATCATCTCAAGGAAAGGCTCCGTGATTATGCGGCCCCGGGCACGGCGAACCCAGTGCCGACGCAGCTCATCGCCGAAGATGGACTCCTTCACATTTCCACCCTGAGAATGACTGTTACGATTGAATAGCTGTCGTTACACAATTGCACTTATTTATGTTAGATACAAGTTTGGATAAACTAATCAACTAAACGCTCCAAAAATAATAATCTAAGCAGCAAGAATTGTAGCAGGTCTTTGGGAGGGGAATTGGAAATATGGAAGACGAGAAGTGAGGGGAAGCTGACCTGTAATAAGAGTCGGAACCGCGTACGAGGTCGACCACGTAAAGGACGGTGGAGAGCACACGAACGTGAGCGTTGGGAGAAACGTCGGCGCGGTCCCTGAGGCCCACGGCAACATCCACCTTGGCACTGTCCCTACTGGCGAAACGAAAATCGAAGAGCGGTGGATGAGTAATAAAATCATGAAGGACCCAGTTTAACCATGTGAATAATTCCACCCGTACCTGAAAACACGACGAAAATAGAGAAAATTAGTTCAATTTCCTCATCACACACGAGTCGTGGAGAAGAGTAAGGAATTTAGTAGCTTTAATATCCATCAATTTT